GAAAGAAACGGCCATGCTGTTTCTTCTTCATGGGATAAAGTTGTTCTTTTGCTTTTTTTTTTCGTTGTTTGCCCGATATCACAGCAGTAGCTCTGACTGCGTATATGAAACGTAGGCAGTCCAAGGAATGAGGCAGGCGGCAGCGCACACCCCACGTGCGTTCTTCGCCGAGACATATCCAAGCAGAGCCAGTGGCAAGTAAACAAGCCACGAGGCCAGAAGCGTCGAGGGCAGTACATCTGCCAAAATGCGCCGCTCCACCGACATGGCGTCGCAGCGGACGCCCGTGGCCGCACCTGTTTCATGCGCGCGGAGAAAGCTTGGGTCGGTAAACCCTTCACGGTAGGCCGTCATGGCGTTGTGGTAAAGCAGCAGCGTCAGTGGAGTCATAAAAAGTTGCTGGGCCGCCAGCGCCATAAATGACGCAAGCATTTTCTTCTCTGCCTTGCCAAAAACGCGGGCGCACAACCTGCGCTGCTGCACGACAAGGGGGGATATTAACAGGCCGAACACCGCGGAGAGGCCCAGGCGGGGCTGGTCCAACATGGCCATCATCTCCGCCGAGGAGTGACTTTCTAGCTTGAGTGGCCCACCTGCCGCGCGGCGCCGCTGCATGGCAGACCGGTGGGCACTGTAGAACTGCGCGAAGAAATCGCCCGCCGACCACACCCCGACGGAGAGCGCCGCCTCACGAAGAAAGCCTGTCGTCATGACGCTACCCGCCGTCCGCCAACAACAACAGCTGCGGCGACGCGCCAACCGGCACACGCAGAGAGCGTGAGAGGGAGAGCGAAAAAACGAGGGAGAAAGAGAAAGGCAAAGTAGCCGCAGGAAGTGAAAACGAGGGCAGGGTCGCTGCAGGCAACAGTGCCGCCCGAGGTGTGTTGGAGGGAAGGCGCCAGGTGCCACTCAGGAAGGCAAGCGCACGCTGAACGCATGGGAGAAAGCGGGGAGGAAGAAACCACAAACCAAACTAATAAAAATTACAGCGGCAAACAAGGAAAGAAGCAGGAAAAACGAGGAAAACAAAAGCACAACGGTAAAACAGATCTCAGCACAACATGCTAGAAGAAACAGACTAAAAGACAAGGAAAAACACAACACACACACACACTCAACACTTCAAGCAAAAGAATGAAAAAGGGCTACTGCTGGTTCCATGTAACAGCTTCGATGAGTTCTTTGTGCGCCTTCATTACTCGTACGCGTTTTTTTTCTATTTTTATTTTGGTCGAGCTCCTCTCATTCGACCTTTCCCGCTTCCCTCAAGCACTTCATTGCGGAGTAAGTGTCCTGTCCCACTCACCCCCTCGCCAACAGTTCCTTCGTCTTTCAGCATCATAAGCGACTTTTCAAAGTCCCGCAACGATTGCATAAACCCCGGATTTGGCTGAGCGGCCGGCCGTGCCTTCTTGATGAGGTCAAGGGCCTCATCGCACGTCATGTTGTACCGACTCATGATGTATGCGGCCGCCACGGTCACAGAGCGAGAAAGCCCCGCAAAGCAGTGAAGAAGAATACCCTTGTTGTTCTGCTTGGCCTCGTCAATGAAGGTGAAGGCGCGCTCGAAGAGTTGGCGGATGTCCTCGCCAGGGATGTCTTCCACCGGCAGCACAAGATGTTTCATGCCGGGGTCCACACGGACCTCCATGTCCCGCGCAACACTGAGGATGTAGCCGATATTGAGATCACGGTAGACGGTTAGTGTCTGCGCGGTGCGGAGAGAGCCGAGATACATAAATCCCAGCACCTTGTCGGGGTAGATCTTGTGCAGTTGAACCTCCAACCACGGCAAGGTGGTGTCCCAGTCCTCGTCCAACATTTGTTTTACAATACATGGTCTGTTGTCTACCTTCAAAATGACGCGATTTTCTGCATCATAATTCTTGTCTATACCGTGATGCTGCGCAACAATCGAGCGGCGTATTTGGCCAGTGGGCAGCGGGGCCTCTAACATCCTCTCATTTTGTCCAACAAATACTTTATTCAGGAGCGGGCAGTTCGTAAAAAACTCCACCGGGAATGCTTGTAAATCATTAAACTCCAAACCCACGTAGGTGAGAGCGGGCAGCAGTGCCTGCTGGCTAAGGGCCAGCTCCTTAAAAGGCAGGGTGGCGATGTGGTTGTGGTCCAAGAGCAGTGTCTCTAGCTTGGGCAGGGCAAGAAGGGAGTGGGGAACCGCCTTCAGCTGGTTGGAGTTTGCGTCGAACTTGACGAGGTTGCGGCAGCAGCCTCCCTGGAAGAGGCCTGCGGACAGCTCGGTGAGTTGGTTGCAGGAGAGGACGAGGGTGACCAGCGTCTCAAGGGGCAAGCTGGCGGGGACCTGGCGCAGCTGCATCTGCGAGACGTCGCACTCGCCGCTCTCCGCCGCGTGCTCGAGTTCCTCGGCGAGCTCGCACGCCACCTCGTCCAGGGCGGGCGGCAGAAACTTCCGCACCTTCGCCTGCTGCGCAGCGACGTGCGACGCCGAAGAGCACGAGGAGCTCGTCGACTCCACATCCACGTCTTGCTCCAAGTGCAAAATCCCCGGGAAATTCAGGCGGAGAAGAAACTCCTGGGCGTCCATTTTCCACCCCGCCCGGACCCTCGAGCTCCGGCGGCTGGGCTATCGAAGAAACTCCCCGCGAGGCGCCCGCTCCACCCACTCCCTCCTCGGACGGAAAGAAAAACAAAAAACAAATAAACGAACAGCGGAGACGAATGGGATTCCTTGTGGCAACTGCGGGGTGCGGCACAGAAGCCGGGGCGCGTCCACCCAGCTCTACGCACTTGAGTCCTTTCTACAGAATGCGAGGTGGTGAGGGGAGGACACGCCGGACACGCAACCAAGAGAAATAAGAGTTCAGAAACAAAAACCAAAACAACAACAACAAATGAAGTACGAAAAAGTAGAGTAATCCGCAGAGAACATGCAAGGCGCATCCGCCATCACGACAGTCAGTCCCCCACCCGCGCAGAGGCAAACACAACCATCACACACACACACACACAGACACACACGTACGCCGCATCAAGGATTTACAATTACGGCGTGTCGCATCAAACGGGAGGAGAAATATGTAAACTTATGCGATTCCAGTTAGCGGCTTCGACCTCATCATCGCCGTTGAATGGCAATTAGAAACGGGCAGGGGCAGCCGTTCGGCGGCGGATGGCTTCGCCTCGCTGCGCCTTATCCGAGGCAAAGTTGCATCGCAGCACAGCACCCTCCAACTTGTACGCATCCAGAAGTCTAACGACGAGCTCCGCAACTTCCTTCGACTGGAGCGTAACGAACATGTGACGGTGCTTGACCCGTGGCTTCGTGGGAAGAAAATCCACCGAATCCACAACGCCAACGTCTCCACCGCCCCCCTCGCCACTTTCCGTCTCCGCTGCATTCACGTCTTCCCCGTTCCGCACACGATAGGCGTCGAGGAAGGAACTCACAAAGTCTGTGACCTCCTGCGCAGTAAACCTTGCAGGCACGTTGCCAAGAAAAACCGTCCTTTCCCGTCGCTCCTTTCGCGTACGCCAAAAGGTGCCATTTTTAAACTTTGGATCGTGTCGCAATGCGTCGCCCTGCGTAGGGAGCGAACTACTGGCCTCCGCCCCCACAGACTGCGCCGACGCGGCAGCTGTGGTTGCGGCGGTGTTCTCTTCCTCCACCACCGCCGCATTGAGCCTGGCGAGCTGCCGTTCGAAGCGCTGCTTTGCCTCAAGCCGTTTTCGCTCCTTGCGGGTCATCCCTTCCGTGGACTCCACCGCTTCGGCAGCCGGCACCGCAGCCGCGGTTTCGCGGGGACGCTTCCTGCTCACCACCACCGCCGTCGCCCGCTTCTCCACTGCCCCAGCGTCTTCCGCCCGCTGAGGCGCATGGGCCTGCAACGCTTCACTCGTGGGCAACGAAATGGCAACCGCCGCCCCCTCAGCCTCGAGCCGACGCCGCTTCGTCTCACGTCGGGATTTCTTTCGAAGGACTGCGCGACTAGGCATTGTCGCGCCCCCACAAGCTACGGCGAAGAAACAAAAAAAAAGACAGAGGTAAAAGACAAAAAATACAAGAAGTGAGGAGAGGGACAAAAAGGACAACATGTACGAAGTTGTGTGCGTGTGTGTGTGTGTGTGTGTAAGGAAGTACCGACAGCCCGGCCGTTCCCCAATGAAAGCCGAGGGAGAAACAAAGAGGAGAAGAGGCGAGCGAAAGCGGGAGAGACGGACTGTCCCCTCCCTTAAGCGCCTTGGGATACATTCCGCCAAGAAGGTAAGGAAAAAAGAAAAGGAAAAAGTAGCAGGCACGCGCGGTAAAAAAAAAAAAGTTGGATGTTGAGTGAACACAGCCGGAGTCCCCTACCTCAGCTAGCAGAGCGGTGGATCGCGTACGCTGAAATGTCTCTACTCCTTTGATAATGCCTAGTATCCGTCCAGGGTGTCTTTGATTTCGTGTTTTTTTATAATGAGAGATAATGCTTCGATGAAGACATGTGGCATCGCGAGAGGCAAAAAAAAAAAACGATTGAGCGTCCAACCGTTACGATTGCCGTCTTCGCTTGCTTGTCTGCTTGGTTGTGGAGAGAAGATCGGGAGGGCCGGAGAGAGGGACGCTGCTGCCTCTTCGTGGTGGTGTGCGCCCCCCGAGGCGTTTCCCTCCCCCACGCCCCGCTTGCCGTGGGCCTTCGCAGCGGAGCACGCAGCCAGAAGAGGAAAAAAGAAAGGAGAAGAAAAGAGGCGGGGGGCCTAGCTGTCGTGCTGCGCAAACATAAGGGCCCGTTCTTCGTCCGGGAGAGACTCCAAGAGGGCGGCGCGCTTCTCCGCCGCCATTTCCTTCCGGCGGGTGTTGGAGGCGGTGAGTGCGCCGCCGTGGCGCACGTCCGAGACGAGAAGGACGACGCTGGCAAGCAACGAGACGGTCGCCGCGGCGATAAAGACCATCTCAGCCATCTGATACCCCTTCAGCGTGGGGAGGGGGCGAACATCGTCCGCGCTCGCCTGCGAAGACGAGGAATCCGCCGCAGCACCCTTGCCGGTGGTGTCTGGCACGTACCTGTCGAGGATGCTCCCCACAATAATGGGGAAGAGGGCCAACCCAACGTTTTGCACCGCCATGATGACGCCGTAGGAGAGGCCAAGAACGTTCTCGCCCACCGCCCACGGAACCGAGGGCCAGAGCCCAGAAACAAGGACGCTGTAGGAAACCCCCATAATAATCATCATTACAATGCCAGGAATCATGGTCGTGAGCAGCAGCAGGTGAATCAGTAGAAAAGAGGCACTCGCCGCGATAAGCCAGAGGGTGTTTCGCCCCACATTATCCACAACGAGCCCAACCAACGGCGAGCCAGCGGCTGAGGCGAATTGGTACGCCGAGATATAGTTCGAGGCCGTTCGGGTAGTATATTCGTACTTGACCTCAAAAAAGTTTACGCCGAGGCCAATAAAAGGGAAAATTGCGGAGTAGCAGAAGACGCAAATGATGGTGAGGGCCCAGAACGCAAATGGCAGCCGCACTGCATCGGTGAGCTTCATGACGCCACTCCCCGCCTCCCGCGGCTCCTGTCGGATGTACCCTGTGCGCACAGCGTGTACGTCAGCAAAGACCAAAATAATGCAGGCGCAAAAAGAGACGACGCAGGAAAGGATGCCAAACAGCGCGGCCACTTCAACGCCCCGGGCCTCGGCAATCATGGGCGAGAAGAGAAAGTTAAACGACGACCCGACGCGTGAAAAGCTGATTGTGATGCCGAAGGCCAGCGCCATGCCGCGAGAGTGCTTGAACCACCGTGCAACGTAGGCCGACTGGGCCACCGAGAGAGACTCGCCTCCGAGTCCAAATACGACACGCGCTATCAGCATAAGTGGGTAGACAACGTAATATACACCCAACCAAAAAAACGAGGCCCCCAGCAATATACAAAAGGTGAAGAGGAGCATCGCCTTGCGGATACCAAGAAATTTGTCAATTAAAACGCCCCCAAATACAGCCAGCACGGTGTTGGGCCACGAGTACACGCTGTATAGCAATTGATTCATTTTCTGTGTGTACTCCTTTCCGTGAGTCTTGAAACGTTGCTCGATGGTTGCGCCCTCGCCGGTGCCTATGGAGCCCGGGAAGTCAAAGATGTAGTAGCTGCCAAAGGTAAGAAAGCATGCCACAACGAGGACCCTCCAGCGCAGCTCCAGCACCTCCTCCTTCAGAACCTCATACCACCTCTTCTCCGCTTCAGCTGCGCCGCACAAAGTTGCGGAGGCATCCATCACTATTGCTGGAATGTCGTGCTGCTGTGCACTAGACCCCGCCCCCGCTACTGCCGCCTCTCACGTTAGTTTTTTTTCTTTTTTGTCTCGTCGTGGGTGCTCTTCCCTCCTCCCCCACCTTCGCTGCACCCGTGTGTGTGTGTATATATATACTCTTTACGGTTGTCGTTACTTTTCCTCCTTCCCACGCCTGGCTTTGCTCCCTCCTGTGCACTGCACCACTTTCACACGCTGCAAGCGAGAGGAGGAGAGAGGATGCATTAAGGCCCGCCGGCAGCGGCTAATCCAAAAAAAAAAAAACTCTCGGAGGAGGAGGAGGGGGGAGGCTCCACACATATTCCCCCGCACACACACCGAGGAACATGCCGTACAGTCAGTGGTTTCTCAATCAAACCCATATGCAAACGCGCCTCGGCGTAGCTGCGCTGTCGCCAACGCGCAAAACCCAAGACGCAAAATAATAACAATAACAACAACAACGGAGCAAAAAGTAAAGGAGGGATGACGCCAATGCGTGTCTCCCGCGGGTGGCGTAACAAAAAAAAACCGCGCCAGACGGTATTCAAGTGTTCCTCTGCATGCACACATCATTTGCGGTGCGCGTGAAGTGTTTTTAAAGAGACAAAATACGCCTGAAAAAAACAATGAATGGGGCGGAAGTGGGCCAACTGGCAGCGGCGCCGCCAAGGTCTTCCCCAGCTCACCCACACTGGCCCCCTGGATGCAAAGCTCCGCCTTCAGGCGGTGATTCTCTTCCAGGGCGCCAACACAAGACCGGTACGCCAGGGGAAGCGGGCGCCCTATTTGCCTCCCGACACTAAATATCCACAGCAAACAACGAACCGTGCGCATGTGTGTGCCTTCATCCCCGCATCCTTGTGCCCAGTGGGGGCGACGGCGCAAAGAGGAACGAAGAGAAGAAGAGGGCGTCGGGGTGAGGGAGCGCGGGGCAAAGCAGTAAGGGCACACCCGTTGGGCAAACTTGCGCAGGTGGAGGCGGAGCCCCCTCAGCAGACACACACACGAAACTTTGCTCTTCCGGGTCCCCGTTTTCGCCGGCGCAAGTCAGACAGAAAAAAAAAACATAATAAAACCGTGGAAATTAATTAAGAAGCACCAACCAACACGCGGTCATCGTGTGACGACACGTGCACGTTGTATTACTGCAACCTCGCCCGGATACAGTGTTGTTCCTTTTACTTAGTTCCAGCACGGAGAAAAACACGAGGAGAGAAAACAAACGGTTTGGCCAGTGTCTCCGAACATTCCAATTCATCTGAAAGCCTTCAATGAACGGAAGAGGAGTAAACAATGCATACAAAAAAAAAGCCTGATGATGGCCGGGCTCGCTGGGAGCTCAAAAGGTGGTAGTCGTTAGGGTCCCCACCACCGCTAGACACATCAACGCGTGGGAGGGGGGGACGGCCGGGAGGAAAGAAGAAGAAGAAATAAATGAACAACTGCACTTGCTGCCCTCCAAGCAACTCACCTAAAAACAACAACAACAACAACAACAAAAACAAACAAGAGATCAGTTCGCGGGTAAATAAACCAAGGAAATAAAACACATCGCTCTCTCATTTGTTCAGTTTTGTCGGCAGGGAGTTTGGAGGCACGTTTTTCCCGCAAGTTTATTCAGAATTACTGACGCAGAAGGCAACACAAAAGAAAAAGAAAAGCAAGTGACATGCGATCGTCGTGCCACACACACACACACACTCAGGGAAACCGTTTTATTGAGGTCATACAGAAAAGGAAAGACCCCACAGTTGCCGAGTTCAAAAAGTAAGTCGGATGCCCCTCACCTCCTCCCTCTCACTGCCTAAAACTTATGTCCAAGAAGAGCCTGGCAAAAACAGGGGAAGCGAGGAAAGGTGGGACTCACGTACACGAAACATTTTACACCAGTAGTTCATTTCATCGCTCATTCCGTTCTTTTTTTCTTCTTTTCTTGTTATTGGGAATTGCCTGCCCTTAACGGTGGGCAGAACAGTAGCTTGCGGGCTAAAACAATCATATTTTTTTGTGTGTGTACGCTGGTCCAGCTTCGCAATTTTGTTCACTTTTTTCCTTATTTTTTATGATTTTTTTTTAATTCTTTTGCACTGTATCCATCCTTCACTATTAGTTGTTGTTTTTTTTGTGTGTGTGTTCTTCCCCTCCTTCGCGTGGGTGTCATGGGGGGTGTTTGGTAGTATACCCGAATTGTTCCCCTTGCGAACCCGCCGCCTCTCACGTGGCTGCGGTTTCTGCCTCCACCGACATCGTCGCGGAGCCCAGGACCCCGAGGTAGCCGTCGTGCTCGAGGAAGTGGGCGTGGCACTCCCCCTTCGACCAGTACTGCAGCGTCGCGCTGATGAGGCTCCAAATGATGGGGTTCTCCCGCACGAAACCACCGGCAAAAAATATATTCTGGACGTTCTGCACGCGGCTGTGCAGGTACGCCAGTTGCGTGACGTTGCTCGAGATCATATTCAGCAGCGACCGCACAATGTCCATGGCACACGCCTTCTTCTTCCATTTCGAAAGCGGCGTCGGCGAGACGGGAGACGAGCTTGTAGAGGGCGAAATCACGTCACTCCTGTCATCGCCAAAGTTGCTCTGCGACCACAGCCCCGCCATCGCCTCGTAGGATCGGTCCGTGCCAAACTTGCCAAAGGTGCTGGCGACGGTGTCGACCGAGAGCATCGCAGGCAGGTCCTTCGCGTTGTAGCCGTAGATGTCGCCAACCAGAAGGTCAACGTTTTTGTTGTCGCCAGGGCCGTCCAGCCGCATGATCTCCAGCACCTCCTCCCACGAGGTCATGTCCGTCATGGTGCGCACAAGCCCCCAGAAGGTTGCCCCGCCAATGGGGCTTCCCCCAACACGCACGTGCGAGCCGTCCGGGCCAAGGCACTTGATGATGGAAATACCAGAGCCGATGTTCACAAGCAAGCACGGAAAAGGCCACAGTGGGTCTCCCGGAGAACCGTGCAGCTTGTGGGGATAGTGAATTCCAGTTGGGGGATCCACAGTAAAAATAGACGACGGGGCCAAGCGAATGACAAGAACGAGGCCCTGCACCACAGCGTCCATCTCCCGCATCGCCTGAAAGGAACTGTCAAGCTTCTTCTTCGCAAGTGCCGCGTATTTGAAGGCGCCACCGCCAGTTGCTCGTATACACTTGCGGTATTCCTCACCGTACAGGTTGAGTGCCTTAGTTTCCTCCAGGTACGCGATAAAATCCGGAATGCGCTTTGATGGCAGCTTTGCGAAGCGCACTGTGCCGACGGTGGAGGAAGTAAAGGCTTGGGGCTGCTCTTCTGGGACTTGGGCGCCGGCAAAGAACTTAAAGGTTCGCAAATTGATTCGGTCCGAGAGGGAAGAGGACTCGTTCACCAGGTAGTCGGGGATGTCGAAGTGGCCAGGAGGCTTCACGTAGAGGAACTTGGCAAAGCTTCCGCCAATGTCAATGGTCACGGGAACCCGAAGTGAGAGTTGCCCAACACGGGAGGCCGTTTCCGCAGAGTCGTCATCGCTGCTGACGCCGCCGCTGCTGTAGCTCGGTGTCGGGATGGAGTGGGAATCGGTGTCCGAGTAGCAGCGCTCAATGACGGCTTTGAAGTACTGTGCCACACACTCGCGCCGTACTCCCGCGTAAGCGGTCAAGAAGCCCTCATGGTCGAGGAACGGATGCGGGTGGAGGTGCACAAACCCTGGGACCTGCGATGCATGGAGGCCGTTCAGGTTCACGAGACGCCGAAAGTCTGCAAGCAGAAGCCCTGACGCGTAACGCGAAAGCTCAGTCCAGTTCAACAGCGCCGCCTCAGCACCGGCGCCAGCCTCGTCCTCAGCGCCATTATGGACGCCCGTGGAGTGCTGTTGCTGCCACTCAAATTCCACTGTATCACGGTTGGGCGTCACGATGGCAATTATGGGACGCGACGGCCGTGCGTAGAGGAATATATCGTTCACGTACCGCGATTGGGCAAAGAGGCGCTCCAGCTCCGCCGCCACGACGTACTCGCCTCCGCTGGGTAAAAGAATACCTCCAGGAGGTCCCATGAGCCGCAGTGTCCGGTTATCGTTCCACTTGGCCGCGATCGGCAGGGCGTGTTTTCTCCCGCCGTCGCGCACGAGGGTGAGCTGCCCAAGTGTGGCCTTCGTCGCGGGCCCGTCGAGCGGCCCCAACTCAACCCGAATGCCGGGCGCCGGAAGACCGTCAACGCAGAAGACGCCCTCGGAGGGCATAAAAAACACCTCCCGCGTACAGGGTGAGTAGCAGACCGCAATGTGCTCCTGCAGTCGGCACGACACACTTTCTTCAGAAACGCATAGCACGATTTTCTCGACGTGGCCGCCAAGCTTGCGTTGGATGGCGCGGAAAAAGAGGAAGCGCAAGACGGACGAGTCCCGGCAGTGCACATTGATGAGCACAGAGCGTATTTGCAGCGCCTTCTCGAACAGCCAAGTGTAAACACGCCCGTAACGCTCGTTGCGTCGTTTCAGCTCGATCTCACTCGTGGCGAATAAAGAGGGGGAAGCCAACATGATGGTTGGACGGAACGTGGCGAATGCATGCCTGGTGGCGCTCTCCGACGTGGCCACACAACTTCCGTGCGCAAAGAGGCCCAAGATGAAAACGCGGTTAAACAGCTTCGAAAACGGTGCAAACTGCACAAGAAGTTGCTTCCCATGCGAGTTGGGGAGCACGGCCGTGGCGACCAGACTGCGGACATCGCGAAGCACATCGGCATGCGTCACGCGAACAACGCTGAGAGGATTCCCTGTCGTGGCTGTGTCAACAGCCAATGAGAAGACCGTTTCTTCAGCCACGTGCGGCGGCGGAGCCACAAGATGCAGTCGACCGTTGTAACAGACCCCATCGTACGAAAGGAGCGTAATCCCGACGTCGCGCGCCACTGCCTCGTCCTCGGCGTCTTGGAACGAATGCACATTCACCACAGTCTCCAGATTACGCGAGCGACAGGTCAGAAGCGATGCTACAGCGTTTCGGCTTGCAAATACCACTTTTACATTCTGCCCATCGATTAGGGTTCGGAGCGCATTACTTTTTCCCACGAGCGTCATTGTGGTAAAACCATACGTGGCACAGGCAAGCTCCAGGATGACGGCGTTCCTGTTCGCCTGGCAGTCCACCCCAATCACATCCCCGGGGGCGAGGCCGAGGGCGCAAAGCCCAGAGCCAAGCTCCCGCACCTTTGCCTCCACGGCCGCGTACGTGAGCCACTCCGGCCGACCCGCCGCATCGCTCTGCCCTAAACAGCGCAACGTACTGTGAAGGCAGACCGTTTTTTGCCACATCTCCGCAATAGTTTTGACCTCATGCAGCGAGTCATACTCCTTGGGGTGGGGAAATCTGACGGCCTCCTTGCCCTCGACAACGGCGCGTGTCACGGTGGCGAATTGCCGCTCGTTGCTTAGGACGCAGATGCGTGAGATGAACCACCACAGCAGGAACCATAATATTCCCAGCCCACAGAGCGTGAGGGAGTTGAAGTACATCGCGGCACACGCCGGCAAAAGCAACAGAACAAATTCCATTTTCGCGCTCAAAAGTGGATTGGAGTGCTGGTGAACAATGCCCCCGGGCATGAACGCCGTCGGAATTGGACGCGATGCTGCCTTCGCGGGCACCCTTGGCTGCGTCGCCGAGACGCCCAGCGTTGCGGACACGCCAAAGTGATCCGAGAGGTAGACGTACGGTCTGCGACTGCTTGCAACAAATTTTCGGATGCATGCCATACGAACGCCCGCCGCGGGGGTAACAAAGAAAAAGTCCTGCCGCTGCGGCGTCAACAAGTCTCGGTTCAATTTTGACCGAGACGGAAAGAACGGCCTTGAGGGACGGGTCGGAGGGTGGTGGCCGAGGGTTTCAAGGATCACCTCGCTCAGTCCACCCCCCATCGGCTGTAGTTCCTGCATGAGCTCCGTGAACGGCTTTGCCGGCTGCCCGTCGTCGTGAAGGCCAATGCCGTTGACGTTGAAGTCGCCGGCCACCACGAGTGGGATCTTGCTCGCCTCATTGTTCTCGCCGTAGAGGGTGCCAATGACGGAGTCAATAAATCGCCGGGTCTCCATCACCTGCGCGGACGTCGCCACGGCGCCCTCTGCCTCACGCAGGTGGACGTTGAAGAGAAGAAGGGGCACAGATCCACCGTCCTGCGCAGGCACCATGACCTCCGCGAAAAGGCAACCTCTGCGAACGGCCGAGCTGCCGCGCTCAGCGCCGTCAAAGGTGTGTGAGCCGCAGTGCTCAATGGGAAACCGAGAGGCGATAATGAGACCGTTATCGGAATGCACGTTTTCGCGAAGAATCGTCGGATATGACGGCTGCCTTGATATGACGTAATGTGTGAATCCACGCTCTTTCAGCTCGTCCACGAAACGCTTCTGATAGCAGACACGCCTCTGCAAAAAATACGGCAGTACAGTAGCAGCATAGACCTCTTGAAACAGCAAGACATCGTACTCATTAACGCACTTCAGAAAACTGTCAATGCGCTCATTTTGAAAGCCGCCGCAGCCTCTGGGGAGTATGTTGAAGTTGTAACTTAAAACACGAACCTGCGCCTGCCCGTCTTGTGCATTCTGCGCCTCCTCTAGATGCAAATGGCTTGCATGGCCGTCAATCGACCCGGTGCTACCACCAGTCTGAAGAACATGGGAAGACATGGCGGTCAACGACAGACGGGGGCTGCCACCTTCGCCAGATTTCTTCCTATCCCTCTCCCTCTATATATATTTTTTCCTTTTCTTCTTCCTCGTTTGTTATTATTCACGTGCTTGGTACGCCTGCAACGTGACCCTGTATTATCCTAAAGCAATGACTAATAGCAAATAAACGAAAAAAGAAAAAAGAGGCGCACGTTAAAGTGGGGCTGTAATAATTAGGCAGATAGGCGCAAATGTGCCACGTAGGCGTGCAGCATCAGTCCAAATTGGGGGCCGGAACTCTCCTGCTTCCTCCTTTGCCTCACTGTGGCTGCTTGCACGGGATGCCACGCGTAGACGCGGCTAAAAGTACAATAAATGCAGGGTAGGGAGGGCGGCGGTCACTCCCTCCACCCTCCACTCTCTTCGTTACGCGGTCACTCTGGCGGCCGAAGTTGCCTCTTCGTAGGGCATGTCACAGACACTCTAAATTGTGTCCGGTTGGCCCTCTCGCGGGAGCGAGCGCACGGGGTGCATGGGATACGGGGCCGAACTGTTGTGGGGGTCAATCTGCCGCTCCACCCCACGGAAGTGGTGAAGGTAGTACGCCACAAGACGCATGTAGGCAAACCAGACGATGCCGCCGCCGATGATGGACGAGATCAGGCTAAGCACAAAGACGATCCCGTCGAGCGGGTTGCGAGTGCCCATGCCGGAGAGCGTCATGGCCAGTTCGATCACAAAAATCGGGAACGACCACATGAGGAACACTACCGCCACGCCACAGAGAAGCCGTCGCTGGCGCTGGCTGTACGAGAGCCCGTACTTGTATGCGTATACAAAGAGTGGGGCCCCGCCCACCGCGTACGCGACAAAGCCAATGACGTCAAACGCGAGATGCGCGCCACGCAAAGAGTCGGCTATGTCGTCGGGCGAAAGGAACCGCATCCACACCGCATACTCAACGACGCTGAGGACACAGCACGCAAGGTGCCAGAAGAGGCATGCTAAAGGAATAGAAATCCCGAGGAGGTACATGACAGACCCCCGCTTGCTCACCCGCACTTCCCACTAGTTCATATGCCCCCACATGTGATGGGCGTGGCGTTCAACCCCAAAAACAAAAATAACAACAACAAAGAGAAAGAAAGGAAGGGAGAGAGAGGGATGAAACGACCATAAGTTGAAGCGCAAAAGTCGGACGCAACAATACGAAGGTCGGTTCAATAGTGTTACAGATGCACCGTATATATATATATATATCGTCAAGGAATAGGCACCACTTTTTCATTTCGTGTCTTGTCATGTTGGCTTGGCCTTCCCTTCGTTACTGCTCATGGCTGTCGCCACTCTTCCAGACGTGGCGACACTTTGGGTTCGCGCAGGCAAAGTAGAGGGTCATGTCTTCGTGCGGCTGGCCGAGGGGGTTCACAAAGCAGGTCACGTCATGCTCGCCGCAACGGCGGCACCGCTTGGTGGGGTCACGCTGAGCCGTCGGGTCGTTCGCAAATTCCGCTAGCAACTCCAGCTCCTCCGTTGTCCCCGTCTTTAACTTGAGGTTTAGAATGTACACCAGCTTGTTTTCGTCGTGTACCTCCGCCGTCTTGCAGTAGTTGCACCGCCACATCATCTGCCGATCGACGGGGTCGTTTTCCGGGTAAAGGAGGTTGTTGCAGCGCTCGCAGAAGAGCATGGGCGCGTCATCCAGCTGCGTCAGTGGCATCTGCATGCTGGGCCCTGCTGCGGGGTTCTATTTTTTCTGCAAGGGGCGGCAAGAACGGAGGCGGGGAAAAACAAACAAACAAACACACACACACGCCGGAAAGCAAATAACGAAAGTAGAGAGAAAGACAAGTAGGAGTGCATGGGTGAAGTACATCCGTACCCCTCCCCCACCCCACGCTGAAGCGCATGCTGCAGGAGACGCAAGGGAGAACGCGACGGCCACCGTGGGAGCAACGGCCACGCGACGGGGTCGGTCGCTCACAGTGTAGCGCTCTGGAAGGCGATCCTATCATCTGCATAAAAGAGAGCGTGATATATATATATATGGGGAGCTAAAACATAAATAAGAAAACAAACAAACAAAAACAGTGGAGACCGAAGAAGCTACAGAAAGGGAAATACCTGCAGCAGTTCCCCCCTCTCCGCACCTTCGCACGTGTTAGTTCTCGACTGTCTAGTCCTTGCGGCCATTGATGAGGCGCGTGACTATTTTATCCCTTGTCACAATAGCCGCCACACCACCGTAGCCGGAAAGCGAGTCCCTGTCGCACGCAGACAGCATTGCCTGTGCGGCAACTTCAAACAACTCCTCGGGCCCCAACCCGGGGCGCCACAAGGCCTCGCACATGCCGTGTAGGCTCTCAGCGCAGGTGCCGGCGCAGACGTAGTCCTCTGGTTCACACGGGGCCCCAATGAGGTCCATGGCGCACAGGTACACCTCGCCTGTCTTCTTGTCGATGCTGCCGATCACCGGCTCCACGAACCAGGGGCCAAAGCGGGCTTCGTACAACATAGATGCTATCAGAGCCGCAAACGCCTTCCCGCCAATTTCACGCTCCTCACGTAGCTTGTACATTTCCGTGCGAAAATGAACCTTGGCGGCGAACGTCTGCTGATCGGTGCGAAGCCCAGTGAGCCCCAGCACAGTCCCGCCATTGATCACGTGGAGCTTTGGCACCTCCATCGAGATCGTCTTCAGCTGCTCACCGAGGCGGTTGTCGGAGATGATGACAAAGCAGTCCTTGCCGGCCATTGCCAGGCAGGAACCTCCGCTGTACGCCAAGATGGACATACGCAAATCTTTTCCCTCCCAACTTAGTTACAACGACAATAAACAAAAAAAAGCACTGCAGTTCTTGCGATTGTATACCTAGTGGATGCAACTAATACAGACAGACACACACGCACACACACACACACACACACGCCGGCGCAGTCAAAACAGGAAAGAAAATCAACCGCAGAAGAGAAACACGGAGCAAATAACTAACTGTGGAACGGAAAACCTCGCGACAAGCACACACCTTCACAGAGGCATTACAAAGCAAAACGTCCACAAAGCACAGCTACGAAAAGAAACTCACATCATGCAGAGTTCTCCTTCGACTCCTCTTTGCTCCGGTACTTGTCACCCGCCTTCACCAAGACAGGGTGCGTGAACCCCTCTAGCTTCCCGTCCTCCGAGTAGATGGGCACAAAGTCATGACCGTACTTCACCACTTCACCACGAGTTTTGTTGAAGTAAACAGCGGCCGTGTAGATCGCCATAACAAACGCCCCCGGCAGATACACCCGCCAGGTCGCCTTGTACGGCTGCTTCATTCCTTACACCCTTCCCGCAGTGGGTCCTTTGCGCAAGCCGCAGGGAAAGAGACAGGCAGGTGCTCATGAACAGCAGCGGCGAGGGAAAACACGGAAAAGAAAAAGGAAGAGAGAGACAGGAAAACAAAAACAAAACGCACACACACACACACACCTTCCTTGTGGTAGCCACACCCCCTCGCTCATCCCGCTAAACAATAATAATAATAATAAAAACACTGTCGCAGCAAAAGAACTTTCTGCTAAAGATTACTAGTTGTCCGTAAAGCAAAGGAAAATGGGGGAAAAGGCAGTCGGCAATCTCCTGCCATTGCACTCAAACCACCAAAAGCGCTTTCTATACCATCACCCGTGTAAAGATGAAGATCACAAGAGACGCAGAAAAAAAAAACAAAACAAACAAAAAAACTGCCGTCACATACTGCGAAAAAAAAAAAAAAAAAAAGGAAACACCGTCCGACACACACACAACGAAACAAAAAAATAAAATAATAATAATAATGAAGCCGCACTCGCACATCGTTCAGTCTACTATACACATTTCTACAAAGAGGGAATGGGAAAGAATGGAGGACCACGATGTGGCTCAATGCACCCAACACACCCCTCCCACACACGGACACATCATGCACAAAAAAGCAAAAAAAAAAGAGATGACAAACGCGTTTTGTTATGAAGGGGGTCCCTGGGAGCTCAAACGGTGGCAGCCGTTACGACTCCACAACCGCCAGACACCTCCGCGTGAGGGCAGCGGGGGCCAGAGGGAAAGAATAAATAAACAGCTGCACTCGCTGCCCTTCAACCCACTTTCCTTTCGTTCTGCGCAAACAGCACTCAAGTAATCCATAAAATAACACGGGCGTTCAACAGAACGTGCTACCATACACTAGGCCCGGTCTGGCGCGCACGCCTTTCGGAACGTTCTAATTTTGCGTCAACTATCATTAC